TCGTTGGACCAAACCTGGGGGCTGAGGGTGATGGATGGCGAGGTGAGCGCGTCCACGTGGAGTGCAGAGGGGGGAAACAACAAGAAGGGGTACGGCGCCTGCGAAGCTTAGCTCCAACGACGATGCTGATTAAAGACTTGGATTTTTGGCACATGCTTGAGGCACATGGCCTCTCATCCTTCGCATCTATCATGGCGCAGAAAGACTCTGTTCAGGCGTGCGCAACGTGCGCCTGAACGCGTGTCGCTACCGCTGAAGAGGTGAGTGGCGCCTCTGAATTCCACCCACTCGGTGTGCTCGGGTTCGGTGTGCTCTGCCCAGTCTCGACATGAAGCGCTGATGAGAGGCGCTTGGACATGAGAACATCTTCCTGCATGGTCTTCGATGTTCGTCGAAAAAACGTCACGACCTCTCAGGTGATCCAGACGACCAGTCGGGTGTCGTCCGCATCGTGTGATTTCCACGGTGGAGGGCGCCGTAAGACATCGTTGGGGGAAGCACGGGAGCGTCGGAGCGACATTCAATGGCACGGCGACATGTGGCACGGCACGACGGCGTCGGAGCAGCTTCGGTAAGCAGCCGCCATCCGCATCCTCATCCTCTCCAGAAGCTCTAATCTCCCGCGTCCTCGCTTTCTTGATTTTGCACCGCACCAAGGCGAAATCGATCGATTGAAATTGAAAGAAACTGTTGGAACAACACCGGGTGAAACCGAAGCCAGGTCAGCCTCTACACACACGGGGTTGCATGCTGGACCAATACTTGACTTATCTGGGGATTACAACCCACATGGAGCTGGGGTCAAAAAGGTTCCTCATCATGTTCTTTTCAAACCAATTTTGTACCTCTGTTGCCATATGTACAGTTACAGAGGTGTGACCACTAGTAAATGACCCTAAATGTTGGTCTTTCATTCTCTTCTCTCTCCTGACCAAGTGAAAGCCACCTGAAGCCAATCTTTAGAATGTGAAGACATGTTCATACAAATTCTAGGTGCTGGCCTAGTGTTAAAACATGTTGAAACGTGCAGTCCCTGAACGCCTTCTGCATTCGTTTCATATCCGGTTCTCTTTCCGTCGCATTTACACCCAACTGAATCGGACACCCTCCGAGGCTCAAAAGCACCAAAGCATCCACCGGCCACCCCCGCCGGCATGGAGGTGTAGAAGACTGTGTCTGTTTGGTCCAGGCACCCCGGGAAATCTCGAGAATGGTCTGACCCGGCTTCACAAGGTAATTGCATTGGCCCCGTCACGTCGGCGACGGATCCTGTGAGGACCACCCTTGGGTGGGACTCCGTCTCTCTTGAGCTGTTCATTAGGAACGAAAAGAGAAAGTATCCCAAGAAGCACACCCAGCTTTCAACTTTAGAAAAGCTCTTAGTGTTTCTTGCTCTTGTTTGCTTTGTATCTCTTTACCATATACAGTTCATGTCCTTTTTTGCACTGGCACTGGCACTCGTTTTGGTCGGTTGCACAAGTGGGTGATGAGTTGAGTGACGGGGTCGACGGAAGATGACGGACGTCAGCATTCATACAGTCCAATGTTCACCAAGGGCCAGAATCACAAGATAGATGACCAGACAAGTAAACACCATCTGTTTCATGACAAGTAATAGATCACAACATCTCATGGAATACAAAGCACATGCAGAACCCGGCAGGGCCCGGCCAGGGCCGTGCACCCCGGCAGGACCAGTCGGGCGACACGCGTCTATCACGAGTGTGTCGGCCGGTGTCTCAGGCATCCACCTCGGGACGTCCGCGCGAGGGAGGTCGTCGCATGGTTTTGGAAGTGGAGCGACACATAGACATGGATCCCATGGGTCATGGCTCCCATGGGCACCCGGTAAAGACCCACCGAAACAATTCGAGAAGGAACCGATTCCTCTTCTTGGATGTCAACCTTCGATGGTTTGGTGGAAGAGGTTTTGACTCACAGCCACATCTACCCTGGGTAGATTAGATCCGATGACCGGTGGCAGTAGATGGTACAAGGCCTTTCGCCAAAACAAAGTTATCCGATTTGACCGACTGTTGCTGGTAATGGGACACAACCTACATTGGATGGCATGGCCCCTAGGAAGATAAAGTTCTACAAATAAACAGAGGGTTCAAAGTTTAACATCCATAAACCATGTGACTGGACGGGGGAGCATGTCCAAATCCTCACAGCGCTCTGAGTTCTTGGCTCCCTCTTCCAGATCTTCACCTGAATGACACCGACATCGGTCGCAGCAAACGATGATTCGATCCAACATGATCCAACATGTCCTTCCAAAAGCACAGATTTGACCGGATTCTTCAGCTGCTCTTTTTTGGGGTGTGTTTTCTCATGCATTTCTAAGAGAGATGACCCTTCAATCTTAGGCAAGACTAGCCCAACGGATAAAATGTCCTCCTTCGTGCTTCGTATATATCAGCCACGAAGCCACAGCCCAGCCTGGCTCACTCCTTGCCCAGAGAACAATGGTGCTCCTGAACACCGCAAGTCGCGAGTCGCGAGTCGCTTCTCAAGATGGATAGAGCTTCTCAATGTAGTGTGTTAGTGTTGATATTGTCTTATATTCATGTACTAATACACTACAGTAGTAATTAGTGATATTAACTAGTATTGATTAGTAGTAATTAAGTATTGTATTAGTATTGATATTGGTCATGTACTGTATGGTCAACCATCCACCAAAACCTGCGTGCCTCTAGGAACAGGGGACCCCACCTCGTGCGAAAAGGATTCGACCTCGGTCAAAAACCTCATGCGGCTCCCATGCGTTCCCTTCATGAAAACTCTTTTGGTCGCGGAAGACCTCAAAAATGCAGACTTGATCCCTCTCTTCGGTATGCAGCAAGAAAATGCTGGCTCGTTGCGAGCAGCATCATTTCCAGAGTTCTTCCTGAGCGATGATGCATCCAACTGCAGCAGCACCCAATTGAGAAATGTTGTTGAACATCACCTTCCCTACTTAAGCCGATTGGAGGAAGAGGGTGTGAGATCTTAAGAAGCATTGAACTCCTTTCTGTAGACCTCAAGTTGCACCAAAAAAGGATTTCTGTCCAAGTGGGGAGAATAATTTCCAGTGGAATCATTGGACCCATGTCGTTTCTCTTGGGGTGCCCCAAGAGTAGCCACCAGAGCCCCAGAGCTCCGCCGGCCTTCCAGAGTCACCTCCCTGATCCAGCCACCCTGGCAGTTTGGGAGTCGTCACGGCAGCAGGACGTCCGCGTCATCGCTACCGGGCAAGACTCCCCCCGGAGGCCGGGAGCTGGGAACTAGGTGAGACCCACCCTGTCCAAGATGGATCCGAACTTAGCAGTGATTGTGAGATCCATCTTGGAGAGGGTAGAAAACGAGTCCATCTTGGAGGTAGAAAGCGAGTGCTTAAAAGATTTGCAGTCCCACACCAGTGATTGTCAGACTTGATCCTTCACCTGGCCCTTGAGAAACCCTGTTCCAAAGGGGGACGGCCGTAGCCGCCCGTGACCTCTCTTTTTCCCAGGCCCTGCGCCGGGTGAGTTTTCAATAAACATAAAGTAACCACAGGGCCACAGGGCGTCCAATCAACATAGGACGTCCGTTTCACCACAAATTCCCAAGAGCGCTGACATTAGAAACAAATCATCAAAGACCCCTCACCTTACACAAGCCCCGAAAAATCATCATTGGGATCTTGGCTCCCCACCCTGCATCGAAATCTCTTTTTCTCCCGAAGCGGCGCTCAAATGCTGCCCTTCACCGTTCTCTTCCCTCGAAGGGTCGGCTGTTGCTCCGGGTGGCCTGTCGCCAAGCTCTTCTCGGCCGGACAGGCTTAGGACAGGCTGTGCCAAGTCCCGATTCACGTTAGCAAAAGTCTAAAACCACAGACATCATCAGAACGGTCCTCTGGCTGCCTGGGCCATGAAACGAGATTCGCTGGAAGAGCAATCATATGAAACGAGATTCGCTGGAAGAGCAATCATCAAATGTTAGGACTTATACAGGTGTCTGTATATGTGTCTGTCCCAACCTTCACCTGTTTCGCCTACTGTGCATGTACCTCTTCACGCAAACAAGTGCAGAATGCACAGAAAAACTACTTTACTTCGAGTGATCCCCACCATGACATTCATACATTTTGTTGTATCTTGCTTCAAGTAATCCCCGTGTTTCACCTGGCATTCTATCTGGCATATCTTCTTGCATTCTATCTGGCAAGCTATCTAGCATACTATCTGCCATTCAATCTGGCATTCTATCTGGCAATCTATCTGACATACTATCTGGCATACTGTCTGGCATACTATGTGGCATTTTGTCTGGCATACTATCTGTCATTCTATCTGGCATATCTTCTGGCATTCTATCTGGCATTTGATCTGGCATATTTTCTGGCATTCTATCTGGCAATGTATCTAGCAATCTATCTGACACACTATTTGGCATACTATCTGGCATATCTTCTTGCAGCATTCTATCTGGCAATCTACCTGGCATTCTATCTGGCATTTTATCTGGCAAACTATCTGGTTGAGGTCCAGCGGTGCACACTGCGATCGGATCCTTGCGGTTGAGGTCCAGGGGTGCAC